TGAATGCCGACTTAAAAGCTGGAGGATTTTGGAGGATTGAGGATGAATGGTGATTGAAGCACGGAGGATTGAGGATGAATAGTGTTTAAAGGCTGGAGGATTTTGGAGGATTGAGGATGAATGCCGACTTAAAAGCTGGACGATTTTGGAGGATTACAGATGAATGGTGACGGAAGTACTAAAGATCGGTCACAGTGGTGCACATATGGTCACGCATTATACTGTTTACATGTACATGTACCCAAGGACAGTGTGTTCTATTGTTCACCGCTGCTGGTCATAATTTATACAATCCTCAACTGCAGTGTGTTAAAACAAAGGCACATGTCTGCTTTGTTTATTACAAAAGTAAAGCCATTAGCCAACTCTGCAAAAGAAACAGCTTCAGCCTAGCAACCAACCTGATGTACCCAACCCTCCCCAAAAAAATAAAAACACAAAAATCCCACAAACTCGAAGTGGGGCCAGAGACGATTTTGGAGGATTGAAGATTCAGGTACCTTTCATTTTGTCATAAGCCCAAAAAATGAAGGATTTTGGAGGATTGAGGATGTACCCTTGTAAAAAGGCCCTAGTGGGTTAGGGATAGAGTTATTTCTCTTCAAACATATCTATTAAAAATCTAGAGCAAAGGAAAAACAGAAATTGTGATTATTTTTAATTTCTCTTATGTAATAAGGTAGGCCTATAACTTTGTTGGTGTCGATGACTGCATGAGTTTAGTCTGTGATTTGTCCAACTAATCAGTGGCAAGTCTACAGTCTTTGGCAGAGACGATCGTTAAAGACGGAGGTAGTAACTAGTATTGGTGCTCACCACGGCTGTCAGGGATGGGGACATGGGCAGCCACCAGACGGTCTTGTAGATGTTCACATACTGCAGGAAGAGCACGGTCAACAGGTACAGCACTACGGTGACCTCAAAGGTCAGGTTGCCCTCTACGGGCAGGGCTGGGATGACAGGGTGGTGGATGGGAGTGATGGTGATCAGGGTGGCCAGAGGGGTGCTGGTTGGCATGGCACCGGGCCCATTCCTAAATGGAAACGAGTCACAATTGCATCTCACTTATTCTAACTCTCCGGAACAGTTTTAGCTGCTTGAAAGCCATCCTAAATTTAAGATTTATCAAACTGTTTGACATGCTTTCACAGTAGCCAGTCTGCCCATGGCACTCTCTTTAAACACAACCAAATCAAAGTAAAATGTTTCTCACTATAATTCTTTGGAATCTGGATCCCCATTTTTAAAAATTATCATACATGTACTTGCAGAAAGACCATTAATGAGATTATACATAGGAAAGAAACATGCACACTGATGGATGCCACTAAAGTACAAGGCACTTCTTTGGTTGTGTACAAAGATGTTAAGCCCCCTCGGGAAAATCAACAATAGGATTTTCAAAGTATTTTCTAAGAAAATTGGGAATGATTCTCAGTTTCAGATTCAAGTCTTTTCCAAATGTTCAAATTGGTGCAATAACTAACATAATACACAGACGAAAAAAGGTGGCATCAGGATGTGACATTAAACATGAGTTCCATACAGGAACATGACTTGAATGACACCCTATCATCATGATCAAGCCTGTGTACAAACCCCCCACTGACGTTAGTGACACTGACAGACTGAAACTAGTCTGAAAAATTTTGAGAATTTTCTAAATAACTTCTATCAATTTTTGATAAAAACTGATGTATCACTGCATGGAAAATTAGCAATTACCGTGTATATATGGAACTCTTCCCAAAATTCTGCCCTAACGCTAGTAGTAGAGACAAAACATGTGTCACACAACTGTCAAAATTCAATGCCTGTTTCAATGTTAATGTTACTGACATGACTGACACTACACAGTGAACACTGACCTGTGTCGAATGGTCGTCGTTTGCGCCGAGTTTCCCAGCACATTTGTGGCGTGCATCGGAGGAGGCGGGGCTGTCCGGCTAAGCTGTGGCCTACCAGGACCTCTCCGTCCTCCAGCCATTTTCCTTAGTGAAGGCAGGATGGTGTAAAATTGACAAAACCTTCAAAATAAAACCTTCCGAAATTAACATCTGTCAAGTTTCAAAGAGACTTCCACTACAAAAATCCTCAAAACAAAGTTAAATAGCGCCCTCTTGTGACATTGTGAGGTAAAAAGAAATAACCTTTGACTTTTGAGAATAATTATTTATTTTAAATTAATAGTTTTATCATAATAAACTTTAAAATTTCAATTGTTTCATGCAAAACAGTATAAATTTTATGACAAATATATTTTGGACGGCAAAATATCATAGAATATTGATTGGTTTCAATAGTAATGACTTAAAGTTTACGTATATTTGAGTGGGACTAAACCCGATCAATTTTGATCCCACGAAATTTATTTCACATAGCAACCCACCCAGTCAAGCTGAGAGGTGTGTTGGAATATTTTTCTTCGGCTTCTTTTTGCAAAGCTTCTGTTCTATGCCTCAAAAGCTAGAAGAATTAGATATGACGACATTCAGGGTATGTATAGCTCTTTTGCAAGTTTATCTGTTCACTTTTGTTCAGCAAGGGTAGTATTAGTAGAAAATCTTCAAGTTCAAGCAAAAAGTTTAAAGTAACTTGGACCTAAATCCGTGTCGTTCAGTACTACAGTCAGTGGCACTGCTATTAAGAAAGGGCGCCCTCAAAGGCAAGGCCTGCCTTAAAATTCGCTTATTGTTACAAATTTTAAATGCTCATGGTTGCATAGGTTGTATTCAACAAACAAAGGAGCAGTTGTACGCCACATCCTTGCTCGAATTTGTTTTTTCCTGCATCTTTGCTGCCCATCCATTTCTGGTGTTCAACGTTTTTTACAATTTGCTGCAAATATAAAGAACCTTCACTATTATTAATTCAAATATAGGCCTATCCGGTTCGTAAGTGTGACGTCACTTCAGTTTAAACCACGCCTACCGCACATGTGCACTGCACATAGGGTTACATGCATGAACCGCCGTTTACATGGAACCATGGAACCGGAAGTTAACGGGCACCATCAGCGATTGTCCAATGAGAGCTTGCAAGTCGTGACGCGTTTGCCTTTGTGACGAAGTCACTTACAAACCGGATAAACCATTCAAATCAATCTTTTAACAATGTCGTTACAATTAAAATGCATTAAAATGCTTTTATTCAAATTAATAAAAACATGAAATCCTTTTAATGATGCACTCTTACTTGCTTACATTATTCATTGCTATCATGTCTCTTTTTAACACGGCAGCCTGCAGACTCAAAGCGTGAGGAGTTCCGGAAGTACCTGGAGAAAGCTGGGGTGTTGGACACCCTCACCAAGATCCTGGTGTCACTATATGAAGAGCCAGAGAAGCCTAACAATGCCCTGGAGTATCCTTTCTTGAATTTCTCCCTCTTGCAGTTGCAGGAACTTATACAAATGAAGTGTTGATAGTGAAAGGCCATATTGCTTTCAAGGAATTTGCGACACTCTTCTGTATTTTTCTTTACTTTGAGTCATCCCTTGCCATCCTGGTCAGTACCAGATGTGACGAAGTGATTGTCTTTTACTTCATAACTCATCAAAAATTTCCCGTCCTATGGGAACACTGAGATAAAATTCTCTTTGAGAAAGCCATTTGCTGCCAAAAAGAGATCCAAGGAAAATGCTATCATTTGGCTCCCAACAGAAATTGAAATCTCTGCTCTCGAGTAGTTCAGGAGAGGTCAGGGATGCAGCAAATTTCCACTGGTGTTTTCATCAGGACTTGGGGGCTATTTTCATATCACCAGATATGCAGTTTTCCCCTTAACTGATGTGATCGCTAGTTTCCTGAAGCAGCACCTGAACGTTGCCGGTCCAGAGACAGCCGACGTGGAGGCATTGAGACTACAAGTCAGCGAGCTACAACAGAAGGTTGAGCAACTACAGGACGAAAATAAGGAGCTGAGAGCTAAGGTGAGATGCAAGTTGGTGCTCTCCAAAACTGATGCAAAGGAGATTACATACATGGATTAGAGAGAAGCGTCAAGATGCAGATAGGCCTTTCGTCCACTTGAAGGATCTGAAAATTAAGTAACTCTGATAGCTAAGAGTCGCCTATAATTTTTTTTTCATCTTACTATCCAGAGTTTCTTGTTTTTGTAAATTAACTATTGCAGTGGAAGCTGATTATTTCAGTTGATTTCACATTCTTGCTGATGGGAAGTCAATGTTCTACCAAATGAACATTGTTTATCTCAAAGATTCCATATGAAAACAAAAGGCTAGGAAGCTGGAAGTCGTGGGTTCGACTTCCACCCAAGCATCTTGAAGCTCGTCATATCCGGAAGTGAAACTCGTAACCTTTTCGGCTTTTCTCTCTTCCTCAGCTGCAGCAAGAGAACCCAGATGAGGGGCAGGGTTCAGAGAGCTAGATCCCACATCCCCGAGGCCCCGCTATGTACCCTGACACCATCCACAGCCAGATTCCGCCAATATGCTCAACAGGGCACCGAGTGACTTTTTACACACGCTGTCGTTTGGAGGGCAGCTTACCTTTCACATGTTTACTGCTGAGCATCTTAAGTGATCTGAGACACTAAGTGGCTTAAGACTGGAGCCTTTTTCCTATTTAATATCCTGAACAGAATCAGAATCAACAACAAATTGTCCGGGAGCACCCTCGTCCGCCCATGAATGAAGACCCTTTGATTCTCACATGGATTGCCACTTCACTTGAGTCTGCCAATACAGTACCTTTACATTCAAATAAGAGTTGCCACCGCTTCATTTTATCAGATATCGCAGGCACCCATGAACTCTGAGAAGCTGTCTGTACAGCTGTATTCATACATCTATGTTAATCTTTAAGATCCCTTGGTAACTCCTGGTGAACAGTGTAAGCTAGTAGTCTTCTGCTTGTAAGGGATCTAGATTTGTTTGCCGTTTTAGTACAAAACCCATCTTCATCTCATTACATTCATATGGTTAAATATCTACATGTATAAAAGCTCGATGTTTTCGCCACAAGGCGATAGTTGCTTGTTGAATTTCCAAAGTTCTTAACCATCGTTTTGATACGTTTGTGCTGTCTGGTCAAAGTTCATAATGTGTATATAATTTTGTGCGACTTCTTGGTTTTTTCCTTTTGAGTAATAAATATATTTGTGTCGTGTTGGTAGGTGTCAAACTTGTGTGACATTAGAAGCAATGCATCCCATGCTTACATTGAAAAAATTGAACTATACAAAATTCAAAACAGGTTTTGTTCGTTACGTAGGAGATTTTTCACATTATTCTTTGTGTTTAAAACCTGCACCTCTTCTCCGTTTGTATTAAAAGTGGAAATTGAATAGTTCTCAATTTTGTCTGATTTTATACACTCACAATTTCTGACATTTTGGTGGACGGTTGTACTTCATTCACGTAAACAGCTGATGAGATATTCAAAGTTATTATAAAAGCTACAACAGTGCTGGATTTCAGAGTCATTCGGATGGGTAGTATTTTGAAAAGGTGGAGAGAAAAGCTTGTGATGAGCATTTCATGGGGGAGCATTTGAAGTGGGATAGGTGACTTCCTTTTCAATTCCTGCCAGCAGCAATAATGCGCTCTTGTCAACACTATTCCATGTTCTGAACCAGAGCAGCCATTACAAAGTAGAACGAACCCCTCCAAAATCAACTTTCCGGTTTAGATATACCAAGCAACAGCAGGCTCTTTCTAATGTGTACAACCTGCCTTCCAGACGCGTCATTTGAGGACTGGTACAAGAACAGATTACAACTCCATGTGTCCTTCAACCAAGAACGTGACTGTCTTATTAAAAAATAAAACTGAAAATACGAGCAGGTACGCTATGTCCAAATCCCACCTTAAATGATAAAAGTACTTAATGGAAATATAGCCAGAATGAGCCAAGTACGGACTCCAAAAATGGGATACTTGATTCATTTATGATATTTACAGCAAGTGATTTGAAGAACTTACTTTACGTTTCAAGCCATGATTGAAAGCAAAATGGCAAACAGTTCAGTAGCAGCCAAAGGCCTAAAAATGTCAGTAAATTCTGGGGTATGGTTGGGTCAGTTGGTAGTCCTTCATTTCGATGACCAGTTAAGACTTAAAAAGGCAACTTTTGCAACTTGATGGGGAAACGATACCATCACAGTCCAGAACTTTGCCAAGAGCCTACAAACCAAACCCTGAGACCATCAGTTTTGCTCACTGGGGTATTGGGGGAAAATTTGGAAAGTGGCAGTGACCCTCGTTATTAGCACAAGTATTCATGGGGAGCCAATCACGTTGCAGTTGTTCACTGTAACACTAGTCTTCTGAATGGAATTACAGATCTTGCCGTGTCCAGCCCCACCAGTCTTGTATCTTTTCACTTAAAAACGGTAACAGAATTCAAGGAATTGGTGCTACTGGTCAATGATGAGTTCGTCAATCCCCCAATCCTCATAGCTCCCGTCCGGCAGATACCGTCGGATGATGATGGGGATTTTCCTGGCCTTGAGCTCCTTCATGGCTATCTGCAAGGGGTCTGTTTCTCCTTCCAGCTCCACCATGACTGGCGCATTCATCCTTGAAAGGGTAAAAAAAAAAAACATGACACGACCTGAAAAAGATGCATTCAGCCTAGGAAGTCTTGCACGCAGTGGGCTTGTTACAATACGCTCAGTCTTCAAAGAACTTTCTGTTTCTGTCCACTGTCCATCAGCTCTGAAACTTAACCTTGTCCAAATTGGCAGGGGCTTTGGGAATTGGGGGAAGCCCTTCATCTGAAGGGGGCAAGGGGGTTACAAATGAGTTTGGTCACAGTGTTCAACAATACAAAGCTCTGTTCTCTCATCTGACTGTAGATCGAAAGTATAGATGTCAAACAGCAGTGTGTAATGCTGCTGTTTCTATGTCCTGCATAAACACATTAAATTCAAGTGAGTTTCTGCTGGATGTCATGCACGCTCAAGCTCTACAACTGGGACAGACAGCATGTCCACGCTTGCGTAAATTTATCTGGAAGCTGGCCTGAAGGAATGTGGAGGTACTGTACATACGCTATTTGCAGCGCCCGTGTGCCAAGCACCCTAGCCCGCTCATATTTGGTCATATAGGGGGTTGTAATCCTCTCAGTCTGTTGCTGTCCCTCCCCGGCTGGTAGAACGTCAATGTTTTCTCCTCCTTCCTCCTGCAGCGCAGGTTGACACAAAGAACACGGCCAATTAGACTCAAGTCGGAACATTTTGTCACCCAACACTCAGAAATACACAATTCTTGCTAAGCACAATTAGCCTCCCTACAATACAATGAACGTGGAATAGTTTTTACAAAGTACGTCAAATTGATCAAATTGCAACAGTCACAGAAATTGAACAGAATATTTTATGACTTGGGGGTCCATTTGTAAAAAGAAATTGGTAATAAAACCAAAAACAGGTGCAGAATTTGCAAACCTAAACTTCAATAATTTTCTTTCTCCAAATGAAAAACAATTTTGAAGATGCACTTTCACCTGCATTTCTGCACAATTTTATCCAAATACTACGTTCTACTCTCTCACCTCAACATCTTGCATGTCCTCCAATGGTTCATCATCCACATCGTCCTCGAAGCCATCCTCAAAACTGTAAATATCAAAGTGGTCCGTAGTTAAACAGTAGTCAACCTCCATGTTCAAACACAAACCGTCACAGGCTGGCGGATACTAACGTTGGACCTACTTGGGCATGCCCAGGCCTTACATACGTGTACGTAAGCTAGGTCCCGTCAGTTTTGTGCGAACTTGTCATGCACGCAAAACTGTTTTTACCGCAACCCTATCGCTATCGAATGATTTCCAGCGGAACACGACACTTCGGAAGTGAAAATCCGTACTCAAAAACACACTAACCATTAACCAAATAAAGGAACAAAAGCCTTTTTAGAGAACTTACTTGTCCACATCTCCTTCTTCGTCTGCCATGCTGGTTTTTCTGAGACTATAAAATGGCGCCACCAAGTGATCAAAAATCCACCATAGTAAAACGCAAAAGCTTTGCTGTCGCTCCGAACAGGTTTGCTACCCATCATTGAAAACCCAAAGGTCTGATTTTTTGACAGTATCTCTGACCTGGTAAATTGAGGTATGTCACTGACTCAAGTTCAAGAGCTTTCCTTGGAAAAAAATCCACTGAAACAAGGAAAGTCCTTTGGAGCACGAGGTTTATTATTTTTCTGCAAGAGAGGTTTTTCCTTCCACTCGCTCCCTTTTATTTTTTTTTCTTCATTTTGACATAAAGCCAGAAGCAGTATTGTGTAGGAAGTTTCTGCTGCTTCCCCTATACATTTCCCAATTACTTTTCACCTGGAAAGTGCACAATGACACCCACTTTTGAATTTCCCCGTTTTTACCAGTTTTGGAGGGGGTATACGAAGCCTATTATGTGAGCGTGTATAAAGCATGGGCGAAGATTTCTTGTCACATGTGGGGGGGGGGTGATTTCTGGAAGCTCAGCACGGCCTCCATGCATCCCAGGTGAAATCGTGGCGCCAAGTGCAGAGTCGGTGGTTCAGGCTACGGGTGTGCACTGCATAAATCAGTCACTTGAAAATATGTGTATGTGTGTGGGTGAGTGGGGGGGTGATTCTTCACGTCAAAGGGGGGGGGGGTTCGACCCCTCCCCCATCTCTGCCCATGCGTGAAAGGTTAACCGTCAGAGAAACCTGTTTAAAGAGGACGTGAAGTTAAAACTAGGAAGCAAAGTTCCTCAGTAAAAAACATATCCATCGAAAGCCCTGAAAGGTATCCTTTTCAAAGAACTTATAGAGCAAGCTCTAACAATAGGCTCATTCCATAAAAAAGGACTTAGTAGGCCTACAATCTAATATCGATGACACATTTTCGCCGCCATCCGTTTCTCATCAACCTTAAGGACTACGTGTTGGTTTCATCGATCGCTAAATATTACGAGGTGATGAAAAATTAATAACGAATTACAGATGCGTTTGACCTTGCTTCGACGAGTAATCTTTTTATTAACAATAGGGACGCACATATGTACCGGGAGGGAGTATTGTTTTCCCTCAATGTGCACGAATTGGCGCTTTGTCGGATGACGGACATTTAAAAATAGGACATTTCTGCAGTGGGTGTCTGCTGCATCGTTATCATTTAATCCTTTGCATCTGACAGAAAAGTCCACTAGACCACGTTTGGTCTTCGATGATCAAGCTTCGACACCGGTAGTTTTTGAGTTACATTTGGCGAGGAGTGCAAGTGGACGCCTTTATCTTTTTTCTTCCATGCAGAGGTGTTAACGCACATTCGAATTTTTAGTCTGAACGACGCTGTTGGCACATCCACCCGGTAACGTATAATTATAAATCCAAGTCTTAACGTCAGAATTTATTACGAGGATTTCTGTATAACTCATTAAATGCGAGATGCCAAAGTGACATTCGAACACAGATTTTGTTCCTTTGCGTTTATCCTTCACCATTTCCCGTGTCTACAAACTTAAGACCAAGAACTGGCATTTTTCTGCATAGGTTTCCTCACTGATATAAGCAGTAATGAATATGGGCGTCCTTTCTGTATCTCTCAGTCGATACCTATCATGCAGTCAACGTGTGCGTTCATCCAGTTCATTTACAGTACATCGTGGCGAATTTCGTGGCGAAAATAAATTAAGCGCACCTGCCTTTAAATGACTATATAGGCTACCTAAACGTTTATATGAACAAAAAACGCCAACTCGTTGGCAATATTTATAAAAATTATTCCGCAACCATCAGTGTGCCGCAGTAAAATCGATGCTTTTGACGACGCCAGAACATGCTTTCAATCCAGACATATTATGCACGTAATTTGCAAGCTGTGACTCGTTTTATAAAAAAAATTGAAGCTGAACGCTACGATATTTTTGTCATTGTGATAAATGCTATTAAAGTGACACACATGCTACATTTTGCGAAGTATTTATTTCAGCGCAGCAAGGCACACTAGGCCTACAGCACAGGATAGCAGTGTGCATGATTGACGGTGAGTTGACGGTGAAATGCAACATCCAGATTATGGCGTAGAGAATCCGAATTTCAAGAATCCAAGAGTTTTGAATTAGAAAACTATTATTACGTAATTCTTTTAAATTTTGTTTTCTCGACAGATCACTCGGAAAGTTAAGATGAGTGCACCCGATTTCATCCATGTCATGCAAGAAGGTCTTGCTCGGATTCTTCGCTGTGGCATATGCCAGGAGAGATTTAACGCGCCCAAGATCCTTCCATGCCACCACACCTTTTGCTCCGAGTGCACGGTCAGGCAGGCCAGCGCTGGCGAGGTCGTCTGCCCCGAATGCATCAGTAGCCATCGGCTCCCGGACGGCGGTGTCGACGGCTTCGGCGACGACACCAAGATCGCTGCCCTGCTGGAGCTGCAGGAGCGCTGGCTGCTCGGCTTCCGGGACAGTCGGCCCGGAGCCGGTACGGACGAGATGAACTCCCTGAAGGCGGAGTTCCACCGGCTCCGGGCCACTGTGGAGGACTTCAACAGGTGCGCGGACCTGTGGGAGCGGGTCCAGCAGTCGACCGACGAGGACATGGCGGGGGTAAACAACGGGAGGCATATCGATGGAGCGGTGGGGCTCCTGCGTAAACGGAGGCGACTCTTACATCAGAAGCTGGACGAGTTCTTGAGGGAGGAGACCTCGTCGATCCAGTCGCGGGTCAAGTGCGACTTCAATCGGGCCAACGAGTACTGCTCGTTCGTGGAGGGCCGGCTGAAGGATTTTGACAAGCAGCCGGCTAGCACGGAGCTAAACCATATGAGAGGACAGTGCGCCGCTATCTCACAGCAGACGAGCCAGTTGCTGAATAACATCTGCGAACAGACTGCCAAGATGCCCTTGAAAATCGTCAAGGCGAGTGACGACATCAGAAGCCCCCAGCCAAGGGCTTTTTATGGTGTCGATGTTGCTGTGCAGGTGTCTACTGATGATGATTTGATGCACAAGTTGGAGCGAGGGCAGAGCCTTCCCCCGATCGGCTACGTGCCACCCCTCAGATCTCGGAGAAACTCTGACGACAGTGACTCGACCATTTGCAGCCGGAAAAGTCTCTTTTCGATTTACGGGGGGAGATTCATCCTGAACCGCAGTAACTGCGACGGCTTCACGTTGAATAAGATACGAGAGTATGGAGACATACACAAGGTGAAAGTGTTCGGAAGGAGTTGGTTTCAGAGCGGGAAGAAGCGGTCAATTTCAGGTCCGGCCGGTTTGGTTGTGGTTCGAGACAGTCTGCTGGCCGTCGCGGACGTAGCCAATGGTTGCGTTCGATTGTGCACCTCGTCAGGTCTGTCACCAAGACGGCTGCTGACGCATGACGGTATGTTTTCCAACTTTGGCAACCCGCAGGCGGTGTGCGTGGATCTGCCGCAACGTCATCTTTACGTCACCGACAAGGACAACGCATGCGTGGTAATCCTCGACATTGACACCGGCGAGGATGTCAACACCATCACGTGCGCGGGGCACAGACCAATCGGCGTCGCCCTTGACTCTGACTCGGCCACCTTGTACATCTGCTGCGAGGACAAGCACGCAGTGGTCATGTTCCGAACTGACGGTACCCTGGTGGGGCAGATCGGGGAGAGGGGACGGGAACCTGGCCAGTTCCTGTATCCGCATTCCCTGGCCATCAGCCCTGATAACCGTCTCTGGGTGACCGATACCAATAACAACCGTATTCAGGTAAATGAAACAAGTGAACAAACATGGAAAACTGGTCAGTCTTGACAAAGTCAAACAGTGTGGCATTTGAAGAGGCAAATGCGGTGGGTATGTTTAAAGAGTTTGATTTCCCTGCAGAATTAACTTTTCTGAGCTTCGGTAAAATGTTCAAGAAATTTACAAGCTTACTGACTCACTGTGCAGGGTTAGTGGTGAGTTAAGCCTATGTTATTAGTAAGAAAATTATGTCAATAATTATTCGCCTTCTCATCGATGCAGGTTTTCACCCTTGCGGGCAAGTTTGTCAAGACCGTCGGCTCGCGTGGCAGCGGGCTGGGACAGCTCAACCATCCAAAGGGCATCACGATCGACGACCGCGGCTTTGTCCTGGTGGCTGACACGGGCAACCAGCGTGTCCAGATCTTCGACTCCGCGGGGAAGTCGCTGCTTGTCTTCGGCAGGGAGGACGGCCCGTCGGCCGGCCCCAGCGTGCAGCAGAGGCCAAGCGCCGGCGGCTCCAAGGTGTCTAGACATCAGGGCGTGGCGGGGCCCGTTGGGGTTGCCTCCTCGAGCTCCAGTGGGGTGAGGGGTAAGGTGTTCGTGAGTTTCCAGGGAGATCCAAGGATCGTTGCATACTTGGTACAGTATCAAAAATAGACGGGAGTCTTCCTTCACCAATACTTCGAATTTTCAGCAAAGCAATGGGGAACTAACGACAGGCTCCCCTCTAGATGTCTCGGACACAAAAGCTGCCTTTCAATAAAACCGACTGAAATCAAGTCTATGGAAAGGCGACGTGACAGCTCTACAAATTTGGATTGAAAATTTGAATGATTAATTCTGGACGGCCTATCCCCATCAAGTGGCGAGTGAATTTTGTCAAATCGTGAAGTTTAAAGATTTAATGTCATCTCTTCCGTACAAAAGTAACGTTATGGTGATGGATGGTGCTGATTAGATCTATAGTTTCACATCAAACATCTGATAATTTCGGATGATCTATATTCACCTTAAAGACCCTGCTTTCTTTATATGCGTGTTATTCTTGGTTGCATTTATTGCTGCTTAATGTTGTTCGCTTTTGGCAAATAATTATAATCAAATTCCAGTAACACGTTATGAGTTCTAAATACCCAATCTTTCAAAATCCCTTGATTTCAATTAATGTATCAGGTACCGCGCATTGGAAATTGCTTATCAAATTTAAATTAATTTCAGCGTTTCATTAATAAGTTATTGTTTACTTTTAAATAAAAAAAAACGCGAAACCTACACTTACGGGAAACCAATCTTTCACGTGACTACAGCTCAGGTTGTTACAGAGACGCATGGAAGGCTGATTTTCGCACAACCTGCGTTTGAAAATGTCCTCATAATTAACACAATCATTATTATTATTACCCTTTTGGCCTCTCGTCACGTGAAATTCGCAAGATGTACAAGACCCGATCACAGGTGAAGAGTATAATGAAATAAAGGCTAGTTTTTCCTTCAAATTTGGACCCTCGTTTGTGATATTTTATAGAATCATGGTAAGAGCATACTGTTAACGTCTTTAGCACATTTTTATCAGCATATCTGGACATCCTTCATTAACCCTAACAGTCCACAATCCTTCACCTGTTGGAGGATTGAGGACTGTTAGGGTTAATTAATTCGCTTTATAATGGATTTATGCTCAAGATTAATCGAACAATTTGGCTGTGCTGGTTCCCACGGCAAGACATGCACTACGTCCGTCAGGATGACGTCATCTCACCCACCGAGACTTCAATCCAGTCTGCTGACTTTCACCTCATCTGCCTGAAAAAATAACACAGACATGTCATTGTGGGGCATTCGCGACTGGATTTCATCCCGACACGATCGTCTTGAATTCAAATGATATTTGCCGCGGTGTAAAGTGCTACCCGCGTGAATGGAACCGATACGCACTGGTTGCACTGGGGTGGTGTTCCATTACTTATGGTTGGGGTGCCGTTGTGCAGAGGTTGCTGGGGGCTCGCGGATGTCGGCATGGTGATGGTGCTATGAGCCATGGGTTTCAGCCGCAGCGTGTACATCTTCTCGTAGTAGCCGATGCTGGCCTTGGTGGCCTCCAGAACTTCGGGGGTGACTCGCCTCAAGTCGATCGGCTTCTCCACGTGCTGTTCCAGCCCGGCCGTCCGGAAGGCTCGGTCGTACTGACCAATGATCTTGTTGATGATCATGAGCCGGGTGGAGTAGATCCAGGTCCGCTTCTCCTCCTTGATGGGCCGCCACTTGTCCATGGACGGCGAGAAAGGGATGCCAACGGCATCGCAGTAGGCGTACAGCACCCCTAGCGGGTTGTGCATCAAGTCGTCGGCGTCGATGATGATTGGCTCCTGGCCCAGCTCGTTGGTCACGTGCTGGAACAGGTTGTACATCTCCTCGTACACCAGCCCCTTCGGGAGGACCTGGCTCAGTTTGAGGTTGAGGAAAGTCCGGGCGAAATACCTCTTCACCAAGGTGTTCATAGACAGGAACACCCGAGCCGGGTGCCTGATGAGGAAAGTGTGACGGTAACCCGCCGGTAACTTGTCAAACTTGCCCTCCACCGAGTAGGCCAGCTCCTTACAGAAGAAGATCTCCTTCTTGGGCTTAGCGCGGGCCTCCATGATCTTCTGTACCCAGGCGTAGGTGTAGTGCGGGTCGCGCACCACGGACTCCAGCACGGGGATCTTGATCTGGTTCTCGGGCCCCAGGTGGCAGGCCGCGGTGTACAGCTCGTGGCAGACCTGCACGCGGTCGCCCAGGGAACTGATGCAGCGCTCGAAGGCCGTGGAGAGGGAACGGGGTGGTGCCCACAGCAGGACCCGCGTAGTCTTGGGCTGGGACTGCTGCCCACCGGCCATGTTGCTCTGGGATGGCGTATCCATCATTGGATGAGGCACATGGCTCCGTTGATTATTCTGAAAGAGGGCAGAAATAATGGTCACAATTGGGAAGCAAAGAGCCGATAATGCCACTTCTCAAGCGGCACCATGGCCAACTTCAGGGCTATACATTTATAACTGACTTTAACGAACTCCAAAAAGCAAGCGCTTCCTTTAGCAATGTGGCATCTATAACAATATTGTCACTGCACACGTCAATCCAATTAACCCCTCAAACTAACCACCAGACCTACATTCGTAAACTCACCCAACGCCACTTACAACCGTACACTCGTAGACGAACCGTCATCCATCTCTGGTGGGCTCAAATATCTCAGAAAAAGATCACAATTTCCCCGATCTACTGCAAAAGCCTGCCCTGGGTATGTAACCCCCCCACGAGATAACTACCGGTAAGTAGATTTATTCCTTCGCTAGTCCAGAAGAGAACGGCATTGTCGTGGTCCTGCTATTTCCAGCTAATACACCGGGGTCAACAAACTTCCAGCCCGTTATTTGTCATGGTAATGTGCGGCTCGCATTTTTTGGCTCACATTTTTTGCTAAAACAGCTGTCCGGGTAGGGTCTCCTTTGCGATGCTTATGCGAAGGCAGAGACAACAGCTCCATGAATTCTGGCTATCTGTCGTCAGATCACACCCAGAGGTTTAACTTACTTTCTCCAAGCCCTCAACCGCAACGCACAGGTGGAACAAAGGGGTGATAACCAGCAATTTCAAAAGTTCTATCACCACCTTGACCAGCCAGTCCCACGCACTCTGGACAATGTCATGACAGCTCGCCAGCATCACTCCGTTTGTCTCGGGAATGTTATAGCGTTTCTATCGCACACGAACATATTTTGACTGCACAGAATTTGCGTAAATACCACAAGACATCCCCTTTTCCGCTCTTGATTACAAGCATTCCAGCAACCAGTCATACCCAATCTCATGGCTGCATCAAACAAAGCGCGAAAATACGTAGCAACAGAAACGGCAGTGTTCTGTATCTAAGCAATGCGCGCAGACAAAACCGCGTCATCACGATGAGAACGTGCATGTTAATAACAGCATCCACTATTTACTGTGCGCCTTTTACGTCACGAGAGAAAAAAATCGAGAAAATCCATCAGTTAAATTCCCCGCGGTGACTTGCTTATTGCTCAATAGTCAATCAAAGAATTCCACATAACGCTGTCTTCGACTTTTATTTCTGTAAGGTTAAACTCGGAGGTAGATTAACCAGCTCAACAGAAGACCAATGGGTCATTATACCCAGTACAATACTTTAGATTATTCTGTATTCCGATGGGAACACAGCCAATCCCTCTTTTCTTTGTTTAGTTTTCCCACTTTAACTACAAAAAGTGGAGCAAAATTTTGAAACCCACCGATACCAGCTCTTTATAATCTGGATACGGGCCTTATATACCAGTACATCGACAGGATCGATGCTCGGCGCGGTCGTATGTATACTAGGCAAGATATGGGACGGAGGGGTACCCCCCTTACCGGTCCAATCCCTATACACACTCTAGACTATTGTTGCCCAACACATCCCCCCTAGAAGTCAGTAAAGAATTCCTGAGATTCCGATCAAACAATGACCAACACAAAGGCAGGGGGGTTCTCTCCGTCCCACATCTTGCTTCAAATGGTCGTATTCGGCCGTCACGTAGCCCGTACAAGAATATCCTTCATCGGTTTTCAGTATGTGATACTAAAATTGATTCTAACCCAGACAATATCCGTTCGCCATAGAAATGCACTGTAGCGCAAGCAATCCATCATAATCCAATTAAACTTACCTCGCGTATGAAAAAAAGTACTGCAAGAAGAGTAAAGTCTACTTGGGTTGGCCAAAATCCCCCCGAAGTTGTAAAGGTATAGCATGCTACTATCTCGCATTCCTCAGTATGATTCTGAACTGAAACAAACCAAACAAAACATGGAGTAGACGTACATGTACATACCTACAACAAGCGAACCATGGCATGTCACTGTCGTGCTCTGCCAAGCCGCTTAAAACACTACGATGGATTTGGTGGACTTTCTTGAGGGTACCAGGAGATTTTGTCTGAAGATTCACTTGCACGTCGAACAGCACGAGAAAACACAGACACACATCGCAAAAATTAACAGGCTGGAACGACTGACGCGTGAAAAAAAGTAATACATACTGGTGAAAAGGAATCTGTTTCAGATGGGTAAAACAATCTGACGTCACCTCCTGCCACGAATTTTTATTATTTTTTTTTCTCATATTCTTTGAAAAACGTCCGCTGGTGGTGAACGGTGAAGGATTGCCGGGCACAACGAGGCAGCTCGCCAATGTAAAAAAATACCAGTAACACCTATTGAAATGAGAAAAAGTTTGGCAGAATAATGTTGCGCAAGAGAAAGGGTTTAAAGATTTTGTTCTGTTAAATCTGTTTTAACGCGCGCAGAGCCTTCCAACAGGTGAACCGACTAAAGGCATTTTGCAAACTAGGACGCCCAAATGGACGATTCCTTCATTGCGAAAGCATAGCCTAATTTTGGAAAATAAAATTTGTAAAAAAAAATAAAAACTATTCCAATAAATCTATAAACTTACCTACAATAATTAGATAACACATTACTCGGAAACGCCACGAGAAGGGCCAATAACCGACTAATGTCGATGTAATTTAAAGAAAATGACATTCTCGAGTAGGCCTAACTGTATACAAGTACCACGATGCACGAACAAGCGGTTGTCTATAGTGGAAAATATGGAAAACACGAGGAATGCATTACTTTCAGTTAAATAACATATGCCACGAATTCGCGAAGGTTCAGTAAACCTGACCGACACAACAGTCAGGGCAGCGCGAACTAAAAATATGTACATGTAGAATTCACGGTCCAGTCAAGGTCAGTTATTGAGCTCTTGATGGCGGCGGCCGAAGCCGAGGTAAAGGCTGAATTTTATAGACACAAAGAGCCGAAGGGAGCAATAGTCTCGAGGCTATATCAGAATCAAACCCGATTATTATACAGAATAATCAAATGAGATGAGCACGCTGAAGAGACAAAACGTTCGATCGCTGCTCCTTACTGGAACGCATCCCCCACGCGCATGATGATTTCTTCATATCTTTACTTCTTTCTCCGTTTTCAAAATTTTATTTTACGATTTCAACAAGGCAAAAAGATAAGAAAAGGCAATGGTGATGACTCCAGTATCACAAAGAATTCTTAATCGAGAAAGATCGCACAAACAGGAATTCGTAGTTTATTAGTTTGGGGTGAACAGTGCAAAACAACACTAAAACAACAAACAAACAAACAAACAAACAACAGAGCGAATTCAGAATGGTGCTGACACTCTCAACGGCATGACTCAAAATTGCGCATTTTTTATTCCAATGGGCCACCAAAAGCCATAAAAGTCTCAATATACCAGTACATTATGCAAAACAGTATGCTAATGAAGACATCAATATTTATAGCCTATGACTGGAAGTCACGGGCCTCCAAAGAGCTGGGTATGCGTTTGCATCAATTTGGTGGAATCACTGTCTCGCACAACGTATATGAGGGGAAAGATAACCCATGGAAATGTGAAAAATGCTCTCTGGTTTAGAAGGCTGAATTTTAAATGTTGCCAAGTACAATTAGTGATAATATTCAAGCGCTGTGCCTCTCTTGTATAAAAACTTAACTTTAAAATATGAATTATTACCCCATGGCAGAATTTTGACAGATACAGAGAATCTTGTTGCAGTAGCCAAGCCATGGTTAGGGAAAGAAGAGAGCATCTAATACGATGAATCATCAGTAAGAACCATGAAGGACAAATTAACCAAACAGACTAAATGCAATGTGTTTGTCCCGTATAACTAAGGTGAAGATGAATATCAGAATGCTGTGACTATGACATAGATATCCAATTAACCAATGCAAGTAATGATGTCAAAAGTACTTCCCTTTATTATCTGCAATTTGCCATAATTTTTCCGGGTTTGTATTTTTTGAAAAATATGCAAAACTAAACAAGTTAGACACAGATTCCACATTTAGGTTTACTGTCTTTACTGTCTTTAATATTAACATACTCAGGTTTGAGGAAAACAGACATGATTAAAAATCTACTTTTAAAATTTTTAATTTTAAAAATATTTCACTGCTTGGTATGAAGGCAGACGGAATTAGGGACGGATGTGGAATTAATAACAATCAAACTCGGACTCATTTAAAAATCATCTCGCTTTTCAAACGTGTAAAATCTTTGAATAATTACAAAATCAAGGAAAATATACAGGTCAGTTGAACCATATTGATACAAATAGCAACACATACTCGATTGCACGATAAAATTACATTTGACAAAAATACTGAAGCATGTGATTGTGGTCGGGTCCCCGTCCACATCCAGTCAGCGATGAAGACGCTGATGATGAGAATGATGGTGATGATTGCTATGAGGTGTACATGTACTCACGAGACCTCGTTATGAATGACATGAATCAGGTTGTTCACGTTCATTCCAAGCAGGTATCCTCGTAGCAACAAGCACAAGCTTTCCGTCACAGCATTCCCCCTGGACCTGCAGAGGAGACAAAGATCTGAGCTCGGATCGAACAGGTAAAGACTACACGCAAACTGATCGGGCATCATCGCGTCCTGTCCTTCTTAAAACCTCAGAGATCTACTTGTATAGGTGCTGTGCGATGGGGTGCAGAGGGTATTATGCGGGTGTGAAAATGACCGTACCTTCGGTGATGCGCTCCAGAAACTGATGCAGGTGCATGAGAAGGGCGCCCTCGCTGGTCTTGATGAGGTCAGTCAAGAGGGCCTCCCCACCCTCACTCAGGAATATCTGCTTAAGGCGGTAGTCCCACACCAGGTTCTTCAACGTCATGACACCTGGCGAGCCAAAAAGAAAGACGGCATTATCGAACAGTGTGGATAACGTTTGGCCCCATTTGTGACCCAACCTAACAGATCACAAAATTACCCAACAGAAGACAAAATTACCTATTAATGTGAGGTCCTGAGACTGTCTGTGGTTGCGTAGGAAATCCATCAGCTCTGAGACAACACCAAGAGAAGCCAGCTTCATATGAATGACAGTCTAGAAAGAAACGCAATGAATGTTAAGATTTCAGATACAAATACAACACAGTTTGATGGGAGATCCTTCTTCCCTGAGGTATTGAAAGTTGATAAACTAGTTTGTGACAATTGCACATGGATTACAAACAGAAGCTGCAGATAGTCCTGCGTAGCATACAATGTACTTGCAAAAGCTTATTAACTGATTTCCAATTGAATGAGCACAAAAATGTGGCTTTTCCACATACATCAGTGCAACTCGAAAACTTCATGGATTTGCTGAGCAGAATAACTGCTGATCAAAAATGGATGGAGAACCAGTCTCAAGTGATTTACTCTGCGTAACACTTTGGCCAGTAACCTGTCTTAGCTAGATAATTTTTTTGTGCTGAGCACATTTCTATGCTTAGCAGCTTCGTGAAATTGGTACCCGAGGATAAGCAGAAAATTAAAATAATAACCTCGCCGAAGTCCACAAGGTCATACACGAGCAGCAGGCAAGCCGTCCTGGTTTGTGCGTTATCGCTGTTGAGACCCTTCCATGCCTGATTTCCGCAGGCCTCCAGCAGGTGGATGGCACACTGCCACCCTATTGGCTCGTCTGTGTTGCATGTGAGCTTGTGATTGGTGGAATTCAATGGTGGCTTTGTTTTGAACTTGGCACCTGACGGATATTGATGAAAAGGACTTTTGGATTGGCAGACTGCAATAATTGATTATTGGCAAACTCAACGAGGTTCATACTTGATGTAAACGGGGTCAGGTAAACTTTCAACAATGCTAGGTTCCTCTCCATTAATGACCACCAACCTTCGCTTGTCTTCTTCATCGCCTCTCCGTCGGACCGACCCTTGACCCCAAGAGCATCTCGGACAACATCGGCCGAGCCAGTTGACATTTGACTCAGGACCTGACTGAGAATCTTGTCTCGCTCTGCCAGTGTTTTGGCCATATCTGATCTGTGTTGGCATGAGTACGGAGGAGGGAATGTTTGGGTGTAGTGAGATAAAGAAGTGTGTAATTGTTTAAATAATAAACTTAACCACTTCACGTCGGGTTCAATTAAAATGGCTGTGCACAAATGTGGGCGTTTTTCATGATTTTCCGTTTTTAAAATTCTGCAGAAATTCATTACTTCATTTACTGGATGTTTACACCCACACGAATGACAGTCTGGTGGCTACTCTAATCTGACAGGCAACATCTTCTGACGCCCGTTTATTTCAGCCAGGCCTGCTGCCTTGTAAAGAGAGCCCAGATTGTGCGGTGTTGCGTAATTTTCTTTTGTTCTCAAAACTGGAGTAGTTTGCTGCTGGCGTCTTTTTCAATGGGGCCAGATTAGTATGCAGCAGTATTGTAATGCTCAGCACTTCAGCACTGGAGAGCTTTCGTCCGTGGTTGTAATCCTTCATATTGAAGGCCACAAATAGTGGTAGAGTTTTTCAAAAAAAGGATGGATTACCTCCGCTATTGACAACTCAAAAAATGATCTTCAAGTCCCAGCAGCTAGCTCTTTTGTTCAGAGTGCAATCTTTTGTTACAAGACGCGGCTCCTTTGTCTGATTTCGGGCTCCCAAGCTATGCGTGTAAACATAAGGTACCCGATACCGGATCCCCCGGTGCGAAGTGGTTAAACCGAGCCACAGTTGTTCCTAGAAGTCCGATTCTAGACAATGAACTGTCGACTGAGAACACGGGCAAATACGTAAGACAATTGCCTGTTATTTTTACCTTGATTTGTGTCTGTTTTGTCTCTCCTTAGCCTGAGCTGACTCCCTAAGTTGCTTGATCTCCTCCAGGTGGATGGGCTGAATGACACAGCGCAGACACTCTGCAGCAAGTGCCTGCAATTGTGACAGTTGAAATTAACACAAAAAAAAAAGTGTTTAAGTTTGATGGGTATCAGTGTATGTGTGGCAAATCATGTGTATGTCGTTGTAATACCTGGATATGTGGCACTTGACAAGCTACCCATGGGCCCACTGCCCCGCAAACTCCTTCCTGAAACAGTCTTGTTCTGAATTTTTTCTGGAGTTCCTTTCCCTCTTCCCCTATTGCAGATCTGTCCTCCTGCTCTCGTTTGGTAACCACTGGTGACATCTTCCGGGCATAACCAGCAGCTCGGACATTCCTTTTAACCTGCGTCTCCTCCCTCTGTTTGCCCGAAGGCACTGCCCTTGCTTGCTCCTTGAAACCACTCTTGTTCAGGTCAAACTTTAGGTCTGGCTCCGGGCCCCGTTTCTTGGCCGATTGAGGTCGTGTCTTGTTTGGTGTAATAGTTTTTGGAGAGTCTCCAGATGCATTGTTTGAGGACTGGTGATGGTAAGAGGACAGTCCTCCATCAGGTGTCCTCGGCTCCTTTTTGTCTCCCCAGGCCATCTTCCACTGATGGACGCTGTTCGTCCGCTTTTCCCTCATTTCATTCTCCCGCTGTCGGTGCGTAGTGATGTTCTCAATCCTAAAGCTGCTTGGAAAAGCTTGATCAACTGTTTTTATGTACTGATAGTGGCCGATGGAGGTTTCATCTACAGCTGCTGAATCTCTGTTCCATTTCTGATTTTCCTCAATTTTCGCCTTCACTTCCTTCTCAACTTCGCAGTTCCACAGCTCTGCCGAGCATCTGGCAAACAGGTACACACACTCCATGAGCTGTTTCACAAACTCCAGCTCCTCTGTTCCAGGAAGGGGGTTAGCTTGACTGGGGGGCGACACCATCTGCCACACCTTCATCATGGCCTGCAGGTGCAGCACATCAACGTTCCTCTGTTGTTGCTGAGTATAATGTTCCCCCGGGACAGAGAATAGATGCAGTGTGTAAGTGTTCAGCAGATCCAGGACGCAAAGAGCTCCTTGGTGGAACATGAATGACACAACCTCAGTGCTGAGTTTGTGCACCTTGCCATTTGACCTAGGTAGGAAAATGTACTTAGAAATGACTAACGTTGCAATTTAATCTCCTGCCTATTAGTTGAAACAAGAAATATCAAGTGTCGGCGCAAATGTGTTCATCAACATCATCATCATCTTACCCGTCAACGGACACCCTGGTATTGTGACTTGATGTCCTGTTACGTTGCAAACCGATGGTCATTGTAGCCATGTAACTCAAACAGCACACGGTGTCCGATAGCGTCTTGTAGAAATCTTGGCCAGGCCGAAAGCCAATGGATTTTATCTGTCGGCTTTGGTCCAAGGTGAGCTTGGCTTTTTAAGATGACAAATAATAAAGTCATTTGGTTAGTTTTACTCTTCAATAAGTTGAACAGCTTGTAAAAGCTGTTGTTCGACCTTTGTCAGAGAAAAATCTAAGCAGACTTCCATACTCTTGTAAACCTCCAAGATCATTTAAAATCCCACAAAAGATGTGAAAGGATTCTAAAAGACTGAGGAAGGTGGGGGCCAGCCATTTACCTTTATGGGGACATGTTCCTTTTAAGTTCAAGTATAAAGAATATGCCATTGCTTTCTGTATAAAGGGTGATTTTTGTAGAATTCATATGGGTTATCTGCAACAATGCTAGACACAGAGTATCTTACCCTCTTTATGAATTGTCTCCACCAGGATGCTGATGAGCACTCTACTTCCCCTCTCGCATCTCCCGCTTGCCTCCTTCCTCCTTGACATCAAGTGCCCCGCCTCCTCCTTGCCGTGTCTTACTCCACCACCCTCCTGGTCCAGGACTGGCTCTCGGCTGAAGGCGGCCTCTGTCTCCAGGGCAACCTCCCTCAGCTGGCTGGTGGTGGCGTGCTGGAGCGTTCTGGTCAAAGTGGCTACGCAAAGCTCCCGCAACCTCCTACAATATGGATGAAGATGATACACCAAGTCACAATGATAATGTCGTCTTGATGGGAGTACACTGATGAAGCCACGTAAGGTGTGGATCTGGGGGGGGTTAGGAGGTCAAACCCCCTCCCCTGCTCTAAGACCCCCCAAAAAAGGAAAAATTGAAAGGAAAGGGGGAAAAAATGGGAAGATAATGAGACTAATTGAAGTAAAGTGCACCAGCACCATGGCGTGTATAATGTCTCACCATCATTTTTGCTCGTCCATAAAATTGAGACATTAAAAAAATCTCTGGCCTGACCCCCCCCCCCGGAAAATTTCTGGATCCGCACCTGCATGTATTAACAATCCCAGGTACTCTGGTGCTGAATTAAATGAACTTTGATATATTTAAAACTGACGCGATAAACAGTTGGACACCTTGGAAAACATATAGTAAATCACAGCTGTTGAAAGCTATACATCTGCATGGCTAAAATTTTTATACATGGCATCAAAAATGAAATTTTTATATAACGATCGTCACATTTTTCTCATGAAATGTGAAGTAACTTTGAATATGATTCAGACAAAACGAAGAGTTTGTATCTTCTTTTGGGCAGTTAAAAGCAACTTGAGGTAAGGTCATAAGCATTGAATTGAGGTTTGAATGCGGCATCGTATGATGTATTTCAAAACGTTTGTTATTTGACTCTCAGGGTGAAATGCACTGTGGGTCGGTTAATTGATGGCAAGCATATCACATCTAACAAAATATAAAGCCAGGGAGCTCAAACATGAAACAATCAAGTTATTAGCCATTGCTTCATACAAGAAATGAAATGTGAACAAGATGGAATGGTGTCTTTACTTCATAAGGCAAGGTTGATCAGGAATGGTTTCATTCAATATTGGACAAACATTTTCTGCTAATGGACTGTCATTTTTGCTTGGCAGGAAACTTAACCGGACAGAAGGAACAAACATTTCCTGCTAATGGACTGTCATGTTTGCTTGGCAGGAAACTAAACCTGAGGGAAGGAACAAATTACATGATGCAAAAAGTCAAACAATTGTGCTTTCAATGACATCCGTCTCTGGGATGACGAGAGGAGAATTTGAGAATAGTCTCAGGCAGTCTATCATCACTGTGCTGGTTGCCAAGCAGCTGGCTACAGATCTCTTCAAATCACGTTGACCCTCAACAGCTACGCTGGCCTGCTACCTTGTTAGCTGCCTCGGCTTCCCATATCATCACTTGTTTGCCTGCTTGAAGAGAGTACTGTCCGAAACATTAAAAGCTTAGTCTTCGGGCAGAGATGGATAGGCAGCAATCTACTGATGTACGTATGTGTACCGAAGCCTGTCTTCAGAACCCAAACTTCAAAGAGTTCAGCATCATTGGTACTTCTTGAGCGTCTTGAAGCAGAGTAGCCACTACAAAAGACAGGACCTTGAGAATGCTTCATGTGCAAAATAAAATTTTTTAGGCATAGTAAACTCGCCACGTTCAAGCTGCGGAATTAAGGATGACCTCGATACAAGACTTTAATTCAACCTTCGACCTCATGTCCATGTACCAGAAACAACATCTGCCTCTTGTAATGTTGGCCAATGTTTTCATGATACTGACCGAAATTGTGATTTTCACTCTAAACCCTGTTTGTCTGCTGAGTCTATGCCACGTTTGCAACATCCAGCCGGCAAGCAAAGTATTCATGGCATCCCTCATGATCTCTGATCTCTGTACTGGACTCTTTTGGGGCTTGCCGCAAATTATTCAAAATATCACTGGGAAGTGGCCGCTTGGTGAGAGTGCCTGTGTGGCTTACGGTATCTTGAAGTCGGCCCTGATTACCATGGGCATGGAATCCGTGCTGTTCTTGACTACAGATCGCTATGTTGCCATTATGCATCCCTTGCGTTACCAGTCCATTCTGACCAGGCGTCGTTCGCTGGTAGCCATGGCGGGTGTTTGGGTCGTCACTTGTGTAGTGTGTGTGCTGCTGTTTGGGATATCGGGAACCGGCAGGCGCATCATTTCTCAGGAGGTCCCGCACTGGTGCGTGGAGGGCAAACGTGTCTTTGAGAATTGCGTGGTCTTTGGAATCTATTCCGTGGTGCTCCTCGCCATGTTTGCCATGTACACCCGTATCATAAGGACAGCTCGCAGCCAAGCACGACGTATTGCAGGCAACATCCGGCCAGCCGAAGGGGAGGCTGGGCAAAGACGGCGGACGCGAATCGCGACAAAGTCAACTGTGACAGTGATCATCATAACAGGGACTCTGCTGCTGTGTTGGGTTCCAGACTGCCTGAGGGCACTGTTCAGAACTCTCTTGGGTGATCTATACTGGCCTAATCCAGGCGTTGAAATTCTCATCAACACACTCTTACTCTTAAATGGGGGCTTGAATGTTGTCATTTATTACATCAGAAACAATGATATACGGCGAGCACTGAACCAACAAGTGTCCTTCTGCTGTCAAGTCATGTGCCAACGACTACACCAGTTTGTTTGACAGAAAATAGCAATTGCACATTTGCAAGTTGAAGTCCAAAGGCACAATACGTTCATAGCCAAAGCACAACAGCTGATGTAAGCTTCAGATATCGTCCGGACTAGGAACTCAGTGTTGAGCATGTGCCAATGACAACTCTTGCCACTTAGAAGGAAATCCCTTCTGGGGGTTTCTGGGTGCACAAAGCTATATTAACGAGTGACCACTGGTACGTGCCAGCTAGCACTGCTTGTGCATGCTGATCGCGGAGAAATGTCGTGAGGAAATGCACTGAACAACACTAAGTCACAACATATGAACTCATTTCTTTGAAGTCTGTCAGACCCGAGAAGCTTCAGCCCGACGACAGGGGTCGATCTGAATAGCCTTGGGCACTTACGGCTAAACACTGAACGTACCTGCAATGTGTCGCTCTCAACACCTGGAGAATGCCTCTAAGTTTCCCTTCGTCCAGGAAGGCGGACAGGCCATAGTCGGTACCGCACAGCGCCTGAAAAAACTCTGCCGCTCTGATCTGGACACCACTGGAACAGGATCAACAAAAAATGCACAAAATTAAAATGAACTATTTTGGATAATGTTTAGAGTTTAAGATTGACTTTCCTCTTTAGAGACCCTTAGGCTCCTAAGGAACAATGCAATAGGCATTTCTAAACTTTCCAAACTTACCAGCTGTCTTCTTTCAAAGCGACAGCGACGTGCTCCATGATCCGATGCTCTAGCACCCCAGCGACGGTGTGATCTGTGTGCTGTATGAGGCGTCTGAACAGTTCGGTCAGACTCTCCTACAAAGGTACCAAGTTTTTATCGGATTATTTCAATTTGTTAGCAGGATAAGTACCTTCCAGTCAAGATAATATGCAGTAATCATTCACTACAAAAGAGAAAGAAAATATGAACAAGGTATGGGGGTTTATGTTCACCACAGAGCTATTCCGGAGTTCGAAAACATCTCTCTGTTGGTAGGAGACTCTGTATGTGTACATAGACACCTGTGCCGTGGAGGCAATTTTTTTTTTTCACATTTAGAGCTGTCTAAGATTTGTCTCTGATTACTGACCTTCATTGCTGGATATCTCATCCACACCTCCATGATGTCCTCCACGCAGTGGTCCAACAACAGCACGGCGATCTCGAAGAAGCCCGCCAGGCTGCCGAGCAGCCGGCCCAGGGCGACTTTGGTCTCCAGGGCCTGATTGGCTGATGACAGGGAGCCAATCAGCACTGACAGGCCCCTGGTGATCAGGCCCTCCAGCCAATAGTCAGCAAGCTTTCTATGAGTCACAATCTGTTTGATATCAAATGAGAACAACTGTATATATAACAGTCCAATCATTGGTCGAATGGGGTTCTCTATTAACCAAGTGAAAATGAGGTCATGGTTTTGTGAATTAAATGTTTAAATTCTTTTATTTGAAATTGTTTACTAAACTGTAACAGCAACTGATTTCTAAAACTTAACTCTTTCACTTTTATGCTCTCTTGTTAAATAAAATGGATAAAAGTTAGATATTGTCTTTATTCAAAACTAAATTAAAGTCACATGAAATCCTTGACCTACTTACATTAACCGAAAAAGTAAATAAATAAATAAAATTTGTTATTACATCAATCAGTCCAGTGCCTAGAGACCACAATATCCCTATACTGACAACATGGTACAGCCCTTACCTTTTCCAGTACTGCAGCAGCTGCTGAGTGACTGGCAGCTTCCATTTTATCCTGCAGGAGGGTGAGGAGCTGAGGGACAATGTTCATCCGCAGGAGGGCCATGGTGTTGGCTTCGTCAGTGGCCGCCTCCCTCAAGGCAAGGAAAGCAGCCTGCCTCACTTGCTGGCTGGTGCTTCCGGTCAGGCGTACCAGCTAGAGGAACAAAAAAAATTAACACCTTTCGGCAAAAATCTGCAAAATATCTATTCCGGAGCAGTTACCATTTCTGTTTGACTCGTTTGTCAAGTGAAAATTATAAATGAGGTCCAATCTGCAAGTGAGCATTCAAATTCTGTGAAGAGGTAGTGACAGCCTAAGTTATTCACTTTGGGCATCCTCAAGGTAAACTCTATCATCAAAAATTGAAAGTCCTTTCTTTCGTAAACTTTCGGGACAAAAATTCACAGGATGTATGGATAATTTTGGCACAGAAAACACCCCATCTAATTTATGAGTCAATTTATGTAATTTCAATGTTGGGTAAGTTTCAGTGTGATATCAGTTTTAATTCCGAGAAGGGAGGACATTAAATCTCACCTGATACAAATGAGTTTCTGAGACAGCATCGCCACGGCAACAAGCCGCCAAGTTCTTGATAGCATTGAGTCGCCTTGCCGACCCTTTCCTCTCCTCGGTGACCAGCATCCCAATCACAGCAACCAACGAGAAGGCCTCATCATCGCTGTCATCGTCCGAGTCAGATTCTGTATCACTGCATGCCGTGCTGGTTGCGGGGCCAGTACCATTTCTGTAGCGTTGGCCCCGAGATGAGGATAACTCCTCAATGTTGCCGCATGAACAACGCACACTGAGCTTGGACGTGAGCGAGGATGAAGTGTGGAGACTGTGTGGTGCGTGCGGATGCGGATTAAGAGATATTTTCTCCAGTTGGTCATAGACAGCACCAAGCTTGAGGTTGTCCTGGCTGAAGTAATTAAGAAACGAATGTGAAATGCCAATAATCATCATCAAAATGCTATGACACGACCACCTCTTCACCTGTGGCAACATACCACAAATTACCAGATAACTATATGATCAAAGCAAATAGCACATTTATTATTATAAGAGAAATTACCTTCATATTGTCTTAATTGGCAGAAAAGTGACAATGTCTTAATTTGCTGTTAAATGTCGTCACTCTTCAGTTCTAACCACTTTTAGATCAAGTGAATTTTGCACAAACTCGGTCATTTGGAAGTTTGGAACAGGAAAGATAACAACTTAACAAAAAGCTTTGTTTTATGTCTCATTAGAAATAACAATATTTGGAATGTACACACCTCAAGCTGTCCTTTGGATGGAAAAGGGAGTCATGCTGTCTGGCTGCAGTGGGCTTCTGCAAACGTCTACCTTCCACGGCTCCTGGGGGGTCCATTATCAAGTCATTCTAGATCATCCCTGCTCCTCTACTTGAGCAGCAGGTAGGTGTGAATTGCCTCCATGATCATGTCCACCATGTCCACAACAACCTGGAAAAAAATCTGGACTTGAAGATATATGGTCTGCAAACTATTGATGGGACTGCTTTCCACCTTTCCTCCACCATGGTCATGATGATATCGTACTGGGGCCCAAGACAAAATCCCAATGCATGAATACATGCTAACGTTGGATAAGAAGTTCACACATAAATTGCTACTTGATTCATGGTCAAAAGAGCATTTATTGTGCAGAGGATACAATATTTAATATGTGCTTGACAAAAATACTACCGATTAAAAGTTAAAATAACCAGACAACCCTTAGCCCTAATCTACCCGGTACCCCGATGCCCTGCCCATCATGCCCACCTCGTTTCGCGTTCGCCCCATGCCATACCTGCACACCCATTCAACCTGCAGGCAGATGGGCCCTACCATCTGACCATAGGTCCTTCTAACCTTTCTCAACCAAAAGCACCTTTATCCAGTTCCCACAGCTAAACAATAACTTATATCGGAATAAAGTTATAAACATCTTGATGGAATGACATCAAACGCGGGCTAGGCCTACCTGACTGTGAGATCGAGAAAGGCAACCGCCAACATACACAAACTTGCAAAACTATTTATAGTCTGGTGGCAATTATAACCGTCTTAAACTAACCCTTCAAAGTACAAAGTATACTCCAGTTACCAGATACCAAAATGGCGGACAGGGTGGAGGAGCGAGTGAAGCCTGCGGCAGATAATGAAGGTTGTTATGGCGATTTTGAGCGATAAATATCGAACTGATTACATATAATTTGATAGGAGACATTACTTTCGACAGGTGTATTTTACTTTTAGTTATCTTCATGTCGCAGGCATCAAGAAAAATGGATGTTATGTTGATCGAAATGTTACCAATTTATCGTTCGTATGTTGTATTTTTTTTCCGTGTAGTGTACTCTCAGTCTGAGTAGCCGCACTGGCGGGTGGTGGCGGTGTGCTTTTAAGACTAAAAACAACCAACAAAATCAAAACAAATATCCCATCTCTAAACCACACCTCTGTCTAGGGAACACAAACTTTTCTATCTCCAATGTAATTTTTTCCCCCAAAATTTGGAGGTTACTTTTTTCCTCTTTAGGCATTTTACATTTAAAAACATAGGCCTATCTTTTTAATACATGTCATTAAATGAGTTAAGATTTGTTTTAGGACTTTTAATGTGGAAAAGGACTGTGAATAAATTTTTATTTACAGGCTGAGGTATGAAGGATATACTTGTACGTGTATTATTATTTTATTTTGATTCAACCTGGAACAGAGCATAGGAATGTACTCAAGGGGTCTTGAGTATGCTGCACATCAAATGACCGCTTTTTTGTATTGTTTGTGTATCATTTGTGATGACCGGCACAGTTTACAGTTCTGCACTGTACGTCAACCTGTGAATCGGTATCCACCCTTGTAACCATTCTTGTATTGCAGGTGAGCATTGGTCACTAATGATGACCGATGGAAGAACCAGGCAAAGTCTGCAAGGGACTTGATTTCACCAGCAAAACCACCTGATCTCATTAGCCTATTCGGGATCAGGTCAGGTCGCTGCCCTATATTTAGAAACTGGTGGGCGGAGCAACAGGTGCGTATGCAGTAATACATAGTGTCACTAGCACCTTGTCTCAAGTATGCCAGTACTGTGTTTCAACCTCAGGGGTCGAGGACACGGCAAACTGTAAGAAAACGACCGACCCTCACCAGCCCACTGCCAGACCTGAAATAAGTCACAATGTGCCCCCTCCCTCTCTGCCGTCGGGAGAGAAGCGGAAGGCTCCCTCGAGCCCGGACGAAGGAATGCAGAAGAAGGCGAAACCGTTCACAATGAATTTTGGGACGAAGGCAAAAGGAGGAACTGGTGAGATAGAGAAGAATAATGGTGTAAAGTCAGGTGGGAGCACGATGAAGTGTGAAACTGCAAAACCTGTCAAATCAATCTCGTTAAAACTGGCCCAGGTGAGTAGTTTATTCAACCTTGTGTCGTTTTTTCCCGTTCACACATTGTTAGGGTGTCTGTCTTACAGTGTCCAAAATATCCGTCATTTCATATTCTTTACTGATCATCATTTTGTGATCCAACTCTTTTCTGACTGCTTGTCAAGTTTGTGGGATTATGATCGGCTTCAGTTTCTGTTTTTCAGAATACAATTAAATAAGTCAACAGTTGGACTCCACTGTTTGCTTTGTTTATACTGCCAAATTAACATTTGGCTCACCACCAAATACCAAAAGTCTGATTTTGAAAATTGTTAGATATTCTAGAAGCATTACTCAATGAATGCCTTCTCATGTGTCAAATGGTGCACCATGTGTCCTTTCGCTCTCAAGAGCGGGTGGCACAGCACTGTCTTCAGTGTGCACCAAGCCAGTAGAAGGTTTGCAGTCTTAAGCGAGTGTGCTTCAGTTTGTCAAACTTTTCAGGCTTCAGTTGACAGCCTTCAGGCCAATGAATAAGTCAACTTTTCTCTTGAAGCCCGAGTTTAATACTCAGAAATTAAATGAAATAGTGGTTTGAAATCCAGCTTTTTTGTCGGTTATTTATCTATTTTTCTCATGTTAGAAACCCAAGGAGGCTGAACTGAAGGCACCCACCAGCAGGGCTGTTGCCAAAGCCTTTGCAGAGGACAGTGATGTGAGTGACAGTGTTTTTATAAGATAATTTTTTGGCTGTTCATAGTACTTCTCTCCACTGGAAAAAATTACAAAATGACAAAACGACAATATTTGCTCAAGACATTTGAATCTGTATCGCAAACTGCCTTCATAAAAAGCTTGACAATGAAGCTTAGTCTTTAAAAGTATTGGATTGCTGCCTTCAAGAGATGAAAGCATTTGCTACACATTTGTTAAGAATTACCTATCTTGAATCGGTTGCATCATCTTGAAGTGAGATCATCGACACAATTGTCTCTTGCTTTTTGTTCCAGGAAGATGAAGAAGAGATGCCGCCAGAGGCCAAGATGAGAATGAAGAACATTGGCAGGTGAGAAACCATCAGGTTGCCGACTGTTAAAGGAATTCTTCCCATCAACAGGTATCAAGATAAGGTGTTGCGTTGAGTGTGCCAAGAAGCCGTTGGTGATGTACATGGGTGCAGGTCCCAGCATCGGATGCACTTCAGGGGTCCATCGATTCTGCTTGGGCTGCCTAAAAGCCGTGTCATACGATGCAGAGTCACAAAGCTTTGATTGTCAACTGAGGGTGCTGTTACAAATGTGCATTCCGTTTTGCAGTGCTCAGAGTCTGCTGTAACCCTCCTGGATTGTACAAAATTCATGAGGACGGTCAGAGAACTTTGCAGAATGAAAGATTCTTGCTGAAAATCTGTAAAGAATTAAGGTTGAAGTGCATGCTCATATTTATTTACAAATTCAGTTCAAGGTATTCTGGTGCATTTTGGATATGAGTCGAGGAAATGTGAGAGCGTTGAGGACAAGACTGCATTCAAGTCACCTGTTTTACTCAAAACTCACACTCAGCCACACTCAGCAAATTTCACCTGAATACCTCCCACTCAATTAAATTTCTCTTCACCCCTGTTAAAAAAGAAAAAACCCTGGGTTTCTTTAAATGCAGTATCCCTTTTTGCTCCAACATTTTAAACTCATCCAGGGAAACTCCAACCTCAGCAGGCCCCAACTCCTACAACAAGTCCAAGTACGGCTTCAACGACCACGCGCGGGTCTGGAAGAAAAGTGTGGATGCAAAACTTGAGAAACCAAACAAGGACAAGAAGTGAATCAAAGCCAGAGCCATCAAGAAACTATTTATAAAGTCACAGGCTTGTTAGCCAAATCTTTGGAAGGCATGCTCCAGTTTGACTCCACTTAAACTCTGCCTGGAACAGAATTTTTCTGTGCAGAATAAGAAAATAGACACGTCGTCAAACACTTGTCTCCATTAAAATTAACATCTGTAAAAAAAGGACATTTTCCTTCTAGATAGTACATATAATACTCACAGCCTATCGCAATTGTTCCTGGTCGAACAAGAAACAGAAAAAAACTTTCATCTTTATCAAAGACCAGACTTGTAAACGATTCAAATTGGGCAGCTGACCTTAGTAAACAAAGGATTAAACTGCTCTTTTAATGGGGCTAATTATTTTGGATTAAAAACCCTAACCCACTTAGGGCCTTTTGCTGAGGCACACCCTCAATCTTCCAAAATCCTCCAGTGGCCCAAGTCCAAAAAATTTATCCTCAACCCTCCGAAATCTGCCGATCTTTGCACTTATTCTGAGAAAGAGAGGTACCCAGCTCCTCCGTCCTTCAATATCCTCCGGCAATTCCTGCCATTATGTTGAGGCATGGCGAATGGCTTTCTCAAGCAGTGCTGTCGATTTTGAAGGAATGTCAAGCTGACTTTATGCATGGCTAAGCATAAACCACGCAAGGTCCAACCCACGACCTTCACACATGGCATCCTTCCCAATCAGCCATACACTTTTGCCACTCGTTGTCAATCTCCAAAATCCTCCAAAACCACCCAAAGGATTTTGGAGGATTTGTTTGGACAGTTTTGTTTCCTTCTGCATGTGTTTTCACAGTAGGTTTTTGTTTACAGAAATGTTTGAAAGCATATAGAAGATGTTAGACAGTGGAGTTTGCAGGTTGAAAAAAGCAAAGCATTTTCATTAGATTAAACTTGAGGAAATCGGTCAGCATGTGAATAAATAGTTCAGGAATTTTAACTTTTTCCCCCTTCGTGCTTGGGCTAAATGCTGCATGTTATTTTTTGTTTAACCAAGATCAGAAAGAAAACATTGGATGGATAAGCGTCTTTTTGAAAACAAACGAAGTGAGGGCAACTTGTGCCAGGGTTTCTGTGCCACAGTGTAGCCTTCACTCAAGCCGTTGGTACACATGCCTCTCACTCTACAAATGAGCGCTGGGATCTTCAAGGCGAAGGCTGAAACATGCCTTCATTTGCTTTCTGTGTAATAGTTGCACGAATAATTTAATTCTGTTGTTGATTTTGTTCAAAATTAGGAATTTCCTTTTCTATGCTGTAACATTGAGATGGAAAATTGGATTTGAAAGGGGAATAAAAAGAAATTGTATTATATGTGTAAATAAATTTTAAATGCATGTCAATGTGTCAGTCAATTCTGTTCAGTTGCTGTGTCATGAATTGAATCATTGATAGTGATGGATTGTGAATTGAATTGGTAAAGATGGTCGTTTTATTGACCTTGCATTAAGTGTAAGAAAGACATGCTAATCATCAGCCCCAAAACTTGATAAGCCAAGGTGCATAACCTTGATTTTTGAAACGATGGTTGTGTCTGGTTACAGGGTTAAATCCCTACTCCAGCTCCCTTAACCTCCCGCACACTGTACTGCAGCGAGGGCTAACAGACGCTGGCTTGGTGGCTGGGGGGTTAGGCACATAAGACCATGGCATAGACCAACCCACCCCCTCCCATTTCCGAAAACCAGGAAAATGGTAGTGGCGCCCTTCTAAATTGATCAACTGCGCGGCACCAGTCTACTTCCGCCATGTGCTACTAGAAATTGTACCTCAACAGGAACAAGACGGCACTTGTGGGTTAGCTGTATTTTGTTTCTGTTTCTCAGCGGTAATACCAGTCCAAAATCATGTCAGTCGTTCAGCCAGAGCGAAGAGTTCTTTCTATCCAGAGTCATGTTGTGTCCGGATACGTTGGAAATAAATCGGCGACATTTCCTATGCAGGTATTTCAAGGTTACTCGCAATACTGGCACGGCATCAGTATGACCTGCTGACCATGACCGATAGTCGTCATCATGCATGGACATGGCCATGATGGCGGGTACGGCCTACGGCGTGTACGGGTGGGTGGGGGAGGTTGTGCATGTTGGAGGGTGTTGAGGCCTGAGGAGAGGTGTGTAAATGAGGGTGGGGTGGAAATAATATAGTAGTGTTAGTACCTGGACCCAGCATTGATCATTTGAATGATTGCTAGTATCATGGTCGTTGCAAGTATGCCGGAATTAGGTGTTAGTACCCCCCGAGACAATTTTTTTGCCAGATGCCAGAACTTAAGGGTTTGTCTCCTGTGGCAGACTCCACAGTTCTGGGAGTATGTCAGCAAGGCAAAGTCATGAATGTGCAAATATTAAAAACACAAATTAGACCGAGCCAATTTTAGCCTAGGTTTAGTCCTACGGGTACTTCAAATAACAAAAATGAACGTTCTGTCATTTATTGCAAAAAATCAAAGAGTAAATAGCATTTCTCATTTTGTTTGAAATGAGCAAAGTGTTTTGACTCACCTTATTACGACCATGTATCCTATAGGCCTTGTATACAACCAAAGGAGACTTTTTTTTAAATTTGTTTTTGTTGTTGCAGGTGCATGGTTATGAGGTTGATACCATCAACTCTGTACAGTTGTGTAACCACACTGGGTACAAGGTTTTCCAAGGTCAGGTGTTGAATGCTAATGAGCTGCGGTGCTTGTCTGATGGTTTGAAGGCAAACGACATCAACCATTACTCACACCTACTCACAGGTATGTGAGTGTGTGTGCCTACTCTTTATACCCAAAGACTAACCTTCTCATGTGGTGAACTCTCTGTTAAGCTCGACTTTTGTTGGTTTCCAAAAATGCTAAAGTGCGTTTATAAATCCCCCATTCCCTCATCATTCGTCTCAATTTTGTCCCTCTGATAGGTTATGTAGGGTCCAAGTCCTTCCTCAAAGAAGTTATCGAGGTTGTGAAGGAACTGCGTGAAAAAAATCCCAACATCATCTACGTGTGTGATCCTGTGATGGGGGACAACGGCAAGTTCTACGTTCCGGAGGAGCTGCTTCCAATCTACAGGGATGACCTCTTGCCCTTGGCCAACATGATAACGCCTAACCAGTTTGAGGCAGAGTAAGGCTGTGTTCAAAAGTTATGGCTGCGGTTTTAAATACCACTCTGGCCTATGGGAAGCAGTTGCAGCCGTTAGCCAATTGTTATCATGGGAAACTACCTAAAACCAATCAAGACATTTTGTTGTTTATGACATAGTGGTCAGATTCCTTGAAGATAGGACATGGTTAACCGTGAAGTTGGTTTGTGTACAACAAAGTTACCAGTCTCTCCTGGTTATTTTACCTTAGAGTCAAAGATATGTTTGAAACTACAATCTTGTTTATCTCCATACGTCTTAGGGTCAGATGCCCTGAGGACAAGGATAAATTAAGGCAACACTGAAGATGATGTTTGTGCTCTTTAGGCGCATCTTCTAGACGCTTAAACTTAAAGAAATCCCAGAGGGTACTTAACTTGAAGAAAGGCTAGGTGTCAGCATGATCCTTTTAAACTCAACTTGTTTTATAAATGAGCTTAATGTCACTGTATCTGCTATTATCTCTGTAATCAGCTCAACAGTTGCTGAAAAGTGAATCAGCGAAAAACCCTTTAGACATGAGCATTTTTTTTCAATTTATGTTTAAATACGAATTGCTGATTGGCCCGCAGGTAACCCATAGGAAGGATGTTCCTTACAAATTTGCATATTTCCTCCACTATTCCATCACGTTGCTTCCGTTTGCAGGCTTCTAAGTGGCCAAAAGATAACCGACGAGAAGAGTGCTTTGGAAGCAATGCAAGTTTTACACGACAAGGGTATTCGCACCGTGGTACTCAGTAGCATGTCCACAGGCTCAGGGACGCTGGTTTCATATGGAACAACAGTCGTAGGTAAGTTTGAAAAATCCAGGTGTGATATCATGCAGTCCCAGCCCCCAAATTGTATTTGGGTTTGAAGGATTTTGTAGGATTAAGGAGTATGTACAGTGCATTAGATACGAATTGATGGACTTTGATTAAGGGAGAAGTCGGCACAGTGGTCGTGATGTTTATTTCCTCCTCAGTATTATTGCTGAACGACTTTGAATGTGTATCCTGATGAAGGGATGGGCATCGGCAAGCTGTTTGGATGCTGCAAATGCAGCATCTGGGGGGAAAACTTGATCCAGGAATGGAAATGTTTTGGTTTTGCTCTAGATGGCAAGAGGACAGGCTGCCGTGTGGAGTATCCAGCATTTGATTGTCAGTTCACCGGGACCGGCGACCTCTTTTCTGCTCTGCTCCTTGTCTGGTCGCACAAGTACCACAACGACCTGCAGGTGAGTGTTTGTTCAGCTGTTTATCTCTGCTATTTTGCAGGTTTGCAGTAAATCTCAGAAAGAAACCTTCTTAGAACCTGAACTATAACCCTTCCCGATCCTGTAGGTTTGGGAAGACATTTGCTCTATTGAGGATGATAGCACCCAGGTATTGCTTACAGCAGATCGATTGGGTTTCTGCACTGTGGATATTTTGAAGGTTTCAGGAAAGTTCCCAGCGGTGCCTCAGAGGCAGTGTTTTTGTTGAGACGTACACAAGACCAGTCACAAGCCCAGATACAGGGCCATCACTGAGTGGACCAGAGTAGAAAGACACGCCAATAACAGATGGGTGTGTGACTAGATAGAGGACCATAACTGTGTGGACCCATGTAGAAAGACACACCAATAACAGATGGGTGTGACTAGACACTGGACCGTCACTGTGTGGACCCAAGTAATAGGATGAGCAACGATAAAGGAATGCTTTTGTTGCAATTCATTTCAATAGTTTCCGTCTTTCAATCAGACTGGAGGTCTTCTCATGATCTTGTGGGATTGTGTGATGTCTTGAAGGGGCTTACAAGTCAAGTCTTCTTCATCGTTAGATTTGCTCGATGATTGGAAAACTAACTTGCCATTTTCACTGGCTTTCAAATAAGCGTACGTCCACTTGCTGTCCTTACGTTTCTAGCTGGCCCTCGAGAAGACATTATCAGGCATGCAGGCAGTATTGAAGAGAACCCTTCAAAGCGCACAAGGTAAGGACTTTCTCTGTTGGCCACAGTTTTATCCCAAGTCGGTAAAGGCAACATCATCTTTTGTACACTAGTGCCACAGAAGGTTCCATTCTTGAATATCGGCAGAGTTTGCACATTGAACACTCGCAATCCACTGTTGGTGCAAAGTGTAGACAAACTGTCTGTCTCTGGCATTAACCCACTTGTGCATCTTGGGAGAAGATGCAACAACTGTAAAAAATGTCTGTAAATGTTTTACTTTTGATTGACAGGTCAGTATTGAAGTTGTTGGAAATCTTCTCTGTAGGTAATTTTTAAAGAGATTTCCTCGTTTTTCACATATTTCTTCACACCGACTTCTGAAAGATACCCCGGATGAACAATATAAAACAATGCTGAAATTTCCTCCCCAGAATTGCAGGTCTCCCCAGGCAAGCACCAACCTCTCTGTCTTTCCTCATATGTCATATAACACTCTTCGTAACATCTGTTGTTTTTTTTTCACGGCAGAGCTAGCGGGTCCAGGCAACAAGCCCACTCCCCCACAGCGAGAGCTGAGAATGGTCCAGAGCAAGAGTGACATTGAAGACCCCAAGCTGTGCATCAAGGCCACGCCCCTTCAGTTTTGACCACAGCAAAAAAACAGAGTAGGGGATCCATAAGAATGGTGCAGTTTTCCATTCCTTCGAAATCTTTTAACCTGACTCAGTTAACTGTATTCAGACGTATAAAGTCTTTGTATAAATTTCAACGGAATCAATTACCAAAAAAACATCCAACACTGGCAGCGGTGCACTTGGAAACACTTGCGTGTACATAGAGCTTCTGTTGATGTGAAGAAATTCACGAGCGGGTTTCTTTAGAGCAAGTCATGTTCTGATACAATCCAAGAATTGAATGGAAAACTAGCTCTAAACCCTCTCAGACCCTTCAAAATCCAGCACAGGGTTTGGAGGATTGTGCAGACAGAAGACAGTAGAGCTCATGCGCTGTTACCCCACCTTGGGTGCTGGGCCTCACAAGTGTCAGATTTTGTCATTGGTTTCCTAAACAGTGACAGATTTTGGAGAATCGGGCAATGTTCAAAGCGAAACTGGATGGTTGGGGGTCAACATTTCCGTGGACGTGTTTGTGACCAAGCGTGAACTTCTGTTTTGTAATCTCTCATTTAACCCCCTTCATGATGGGATTATTTTGACTGCGACTGCTGGGCTGTGGCATACCCTGAATGGAGGGCTTTGTCCAGCGGCAGGCCCCATTGAACCAGCAGCTGCATGGTGAATAGACTGCATGTGTGGTATGCACTAATGCTCACACAAAGGTGCTGTAGTAGCAGTCATCCGTAGCGAAGGGTTAATGCTACATCATTGTTACAAGATGTATTAGTCACGAATCAGGCCACTCTCTTTGTATGGCTCAACCTTGGCATAGTTTTTGGACTCCACACCCTAGTTTGTGCAAACTCGTACCCAACTCGAGTTAACCTGTAGGTCAGATATCGTCACTAGATCCTATCTTTCCAGCTCCGTGCTACACATTGTGGTATGATAATGTGTTTTGCTTTCAACCTCAGGCAGACTGCCACCAACCAGTCTGTCTCAAGGAGGGAATATTTCTTGTCATTTTCAATGCCAAGTGTTCCAAGTCTAGTGACCAAATTATGCCACACTCTTTATGCATAAAACCAGGGCATGGACCAACCTGACTCTTGAAAAGGCTACATTTTACATACAGTCCTGTGAATTTTAACATTATGACCTCAACTTTAAAAACAGAGCAAACCGAATTTGAGCAGAAAATCTCCAGTTCAAGAATATTTTTTTATTCCACATTAATTGAAATTTCTCACCTGATAACGTTTTATAATTCTTGACATATTAGGTAATAAATGTTTTGTGGCTTTTTAACAAATGTAATTTCAGCACGGTTGTTCAGCCAAAGATAACACTGGGGTGAGATGACCAATGACAAAAATAGCTGAAAACAGCTGAAAAATGCATAAAGAAGCTGAACTGTGAAAATCTCCTTTACTTTTGTACACTGCCAGTGAGGAAAAAAAGCTGAAATCCAAAACAGGAAATGCTAAAATCAACTGAAAAGCTCAGAAATCTCACCGTTGAAGACAAAAATAAAGAACAAGTGAGTCAAAGATAGGTACTAAATTTCACAGGCTTCAAAAGTTATTTGTCTTGACTTCGTACATGGAGTGCATGGCTGTCAGCATTAGCAACATCTTGGTTTAACAACTTCTGAATTGATTTTTTGTAAGCGATTTCCCCTTTCCATACTTATATACAGTGTTGATTTTACTGTAACCAAACATTTATGCTAAGCAGCTACAGAAAAGTTTGTATCACTTTCTTCTTTCGAGGTACGTGGCTAAGTATTGAATAAATGAAATGTTTTTCTTTTTTGCCTTCTTTTAAAGTTCAGGAAATAACAGGATATTCTGGGCATTTAATAAATTGACTTTTGATTTTATTTTTCTTTTTGAATGGTGATCTTTGAAATTGTATAGAATATGGAGTCTGCACGTTTTAGGATTTCTCTCAACCCTTCAAGGGTATCCAATGTGGAAGTTGGAATTTTAAGAAACATTTTTAACAAATCATTTCCCCTCCATTAGTTATTCCCATTGTAGAAATTAAAAGAAAAATAAAAGTATAATCCCATTGACCCTTTCTTAAAAATCCTGCCATGAGTTGCGGATCAGTGGTAAACTTCACTGCTGAGGAGGCAGTGAACTGAAATCTTGACAATGTTTGTACCCCTCTCCCTCACCCTACCCGAAAAAAAATTCAGCAGTGAACGTGACACATGACATGGTGTCCAGACAGTAGGCTGGTGACGGGCGTTACTTAGATGCCCCATCCCCCATCCACTCTGTACTCTGCGCCGGTCACAAAACTTGCCTGAAACAGAAAAAGTGGAACAAATTGTTACCACCGCCACGAGCTGCACCGACGTCTTAGCCGACACTAGGAAGCCTAGTCGTGTGCTTTTGTTGGGGCACCAGAATGTGTAACTGCTAATTGTATTTCACATGAATCACTGGGCTCACTGCTGCAGGAACAAAATCAAGCTCGCAAGGAATTTTGCGGAAGCAAGTGTAGGGGCTGAGTTGAATGTTCCAAGGGTGGAAGCTCCTATGAATGGGAGGTAACGAGGTGCCGGAATCAAACAACCAAGTTAGTGATGGTCAAAATAATGGGGTCAAGTACTGCATTGAAGCTTACCTCATCCGAGGCTAAAAACAGGGCAATGTTTGCCACTTCTTGGGCTGTCCCCAGTCGGCCCGAAGGCTGGCGACTCAAGAAAAACTTTAGGCTCTGACAGAAAATGGGAGGAACACATCCATGTCAGTATCAGTGCGAAGTATTATGCCTAGAGTCGCAACCCTACTTGACCAGAACTGTCATTTTCTGCGTGGACGTATATATGTTGTTACAGAAACTTCCAATGTTTAAACGATGTTTTTAATTGATTTAAACAAAATCAACGGAACTGAGTCAGGCTTTATTTGAATGCACTGTATTGGAAAAATTTCAAATTCCAGTCGTAATTTTTATTCTTTCAAGGCATTTTGTCAGTCAGTTGATTAAACAGAAATGGCTGACTGAGTTGAGCCCAGATGGGTGGGTTGGGTAGGGTTGGACACAGCTGTCCCTGGTACATGTACCTTCTCTTCGTCTCCCGAGGCTGCCATCCTTTGCCGCAGCGAGGGTGTGTCTATCGTTCCCGGGGTGATGGAGTTACAGCGAATACCGTCCTTAATGAAGTCGCAGGCAACGGATTTGGTCATCCCTATCACGGCCGCTTTACTGGTCCCATAGATGCAACGGTTAACAGTTCCTTACATAGACAAATACACCTGAATTATTTATCTCAAAAATAAAGAAATCTCCAGGTTTTATTTCAACAAGACACCCCTCCAAAAAATGCAACACTAATAAACAAGAAAAACCAAAGTCAAGATTCATTTTCACATATTCAAATCAATCTAAGCTAGAGTTGACCCAGGGTGAGCACTGCACCAAACCGTGGGTAGATCCGATGGGGTAGGAGTGGGGACAACAGGAAATGTACCCCCCAATCCTGTGATTCATTAGCATAGCACTACCAACCTTTTATTAGTTTGAATATGACACGTATATACAGTACACATTATACAACCATATCCTATTTTAAACAATTAGTACGGAGGAGCTTAACTACTGCAGTGCCACTGGGTAACGTTAATGGACCAGAACATGAAAAGTACCGATGGCTTGTCAGTGTAGGTTTAAGTAAGTCCCTCTTCCCTTTTGCTAGCCCTCTCCAAAGTTTGGTTCTGGATCTGCCTTTACTCCTGGCTTAAAAAAAAAGAAAAAAGTGATGGAAAATTTTAGAATGTTTGGCTTACCTTTGATACTGGAGACTATTGAGGCCATATTGACTATGCTGCCAGATTTCTTTTCCATCATCTGCATCATTTAAACATGACAAACAAACCACCACTTCAAATACAAATGACATATATACTCTCTGATTTTGTGGAGTTATTACTCTTTGTGAGTGCTATGTTATTAGTCATGACGCACAAAAAACCACAAAGTTACTGGTGACTTCAACAAGAATGCATTTCGCTGATGGCAGCACCTGACCTTGGGAAGGAAAGCCTTTATCATGTTGAACATGGACTTCACATTCACGTTCATGACGAAGTCAAAATCTTTCTCGGCGGTCTCCAAAATGGTTCCATGGAAGACAAAACTATGGAGAAAAGGAAAGTTCCAAATCCGTAGTTTAAGGCTCCCACAGAAATCAGAAAACCAACTTTCAGAGCTTGGTCCAGGACTTTCCAGGACTAGAATATGACGATTTCCATAATGTTTAATGCCATCAGGCAGAGGAAAGTTATTTTACACATTGAACGAGAAGACGAGAATGACCTGTATCATTCCATTTTTCACATCAAAAGCCGCCCATCAAAATAACCCTTGCATGATCTTGAATTCCATAACGTTTCCCATGACTTATTTTCCTCTGACAAAAGGATTCCAATTCCCCATTTTTTCATGACTTTCTAAGATAACTTTTCCATGACCATGGCTAGCTGATCTCAACAACTGTAACTAGAGGGATTATTGATCATAAAAGGTTAGGTGGTATACTGTTCACAGTGACTACCAAACACAATCAAAATGCCATGCTGTTGGTTGACAGTATCCCAGGCTTACGTAGTTACAACACTGATATTGTTTTTTCCTCTGTTTTTCTTTGTTGGCAAGTTTCTTAGCTCAATCTTGGAAAATATCAGTGCAGAAAAACCTTTTGCCAATTAAGGGCATCATATCTGACATGCACGCATCGGGCTAGTGTTCTCTTTAGTACATGAAATACAGCTGTGTAAATTCTGCTGAAAAGTTAGGTATACCACACACCACGGGATTTGCTTCTGTCGCATGAACCAGTTTTGGCATGGGACACGTCTTCACTCGTAAACAGTTCTTCCCCACAGCTTCAGTAGAACTACAGTTCTCAAACTTGGCAGGCACCTGTTGGTGGCCTCTCCACCTGGACCACTGTTCTAAACCAAGACTAATAAGGACCCTCCCAATTGTCGGTCTCTGGTCAGCACGCGCGTCGATTTTGAACATGGGCGTCAATGTTTTTTTTATTCATTTTTTTCACAAACTTTTCGAAACAGCACCCTCTTTTTCCGCACCGCCTGAATGTTTGCGGCCACAAGTCAGAATGGTAATTTGCTAATTCATGGGTAGCACAAACATTAAGCCATGGGTAGGTTACAAAGTTGCAGCCAGCTGATCAACAACAATGGCGGCATGACGTGCGACATGCTACTACCAGCCTTTGCTCTTTGATTAAATATGCCACTCATTGCCAGTTTTAAAAAGCCACCCCCACCCCCCCAATAAACCCTGCATCCCCGCATCAATTCTGGAACTTTGGTCTGACCAGAGAGCGAGTATATTTTTGGGGGGCCTAAAATAACGTTTTTTCCCTACCCTGCACAGTTGAACAGAATGTCAATGTGACCAATCTCAGCAGCGAGCGCCTTGATGGCTTCATTGTCAGTCACATCCAGCTTGCGGATCTCAATGCCTGAAAATTGCGCAAAACGCATGAGGAAGAATAAATGAAATGGAACGTACGATTTTTTTTCCCTTTCTGAAACATACTGGTTTTTGTTTTACACGAGTATACACCTTCAGCGGTACTCAATGGTTTGAACGATGACTGAATATTAATAGAATTAATGTTCAATATCCAGCGGTGCATCCAGGAATTTTTCCAGGTGAGGTCAGGCCGGTGATTTTTTTAATGTCCCATTTTGCAGACAAGCGCAAAATTTGATGAAATATTTACACATGAAATACTTTGTTTACAATGTATCAGTGTACTTCCTTAAGTTATTTTCTATTATTTTTTTGACCAATTTTGTCTCAAATCTGAGCCTAACACCGATAGTATACAAGACCTCCAGTCTGAATCAGGTCACAATCTATTGCAACAAAAGCATTCCTTTGTCATTGTTCACCCTGTTACTTGTGACTGGTCTTGTGTCTGGTCATGTGATGGTTTTGACTACAACACTGGATGGAATCAATCATAATAAAGATCAGAAATGATGATCATTTGCGTTGTCAAACCTGGCACTCCTTCCAACTCTTTCAGCTTCTCATAATTGATGTCCGTTGCAATAACTCTGGCACCTTCTCTTGCAAATGTCTGCACAAGGTACGATAAACGAAACAACAGCAGAGATGAAGCTGTTTTCTCCAGTTACCCCTGTTAACAGGAAATTCCATCTTCTGTGTTGAAGCAGTTGACGGATTATTGCCCATTTTATTATTTTTTTATTAAATTTTATTCATCTTGTTTTGGGTTTCCCCCCGGGCCCCCAAAAAAGCTCACAGACCTCCCCCATCCCACCACCAACCTTTTGTTCCCTGTTCTCTTAACATTATTTTATCTTATTTTTTCCCAAACATTTATTCTTTGTTGTTTTTCTAAAACAAATTAAGTTCAAATTTCACTGCTTCCCAACTGAGTAATTTAATGACCACAAGCCCATTTGGAAGCTAACTTCACAATTAATAAGTACCACCATATGGAGGCGGTACGGTACCTGGGCCCAGGGTTTACTGGGGCATGCAGACACGTCATGCACAATCCACGTTCATTCATGAGAGCCAGGTCCACGTCCGACGTTCACTATATACCCAGCAAGAAATGAGACCAGGGGTATCCCCCCCCAACATGTCCAATCCC